AAAGCTCAGTATTAAATATTAAATATTCTCTCCTTTCTGTTTACATTACTTTGTCAAGGAAAAACAAACAAACAAACAAACAAAACAACCAACCAACCAACCCAAAACAGGACCATTCCATGTTTAAATGGCATGACTGTGAGCCCTGGCGGCTGTGCCCCCCGGGATATGTGGAATTCCCCCGGGATATGTGGAATTCCCGGCCTTGGGGCCGGCGGTGCGTTCGGAGCGGGATGTGCTCGGCTGTGATCTTAGAGCAGCTCAAAACACTGCCTGGAGAAGGAGGAGGAGAAGCAAACATCCCCTCTCCAGCCCCAGCACAGCGCATGGGGAAAAAGGGCTGAGGATTTGGTCAACGACTTTGCTAAAGGATTTCTCCGTTTCTTGTTTTTTTAAAATAAAATAAAAAAAAACAACCCCAACGAAACACCAAACCACCAACCCCCAAAGAGTCTCGAGTCTTCCTTGGATTTTAGCAAAGACAAAGAGTTTAAAAAGCACTTAGGAAGCTTGGACTAAAAGCAGGAGGTGTCAGAGGAGGGAGTCATCGGTGCAGCCTCCCTCCAGGCCGTAGCGGAACTCCTGCAGGTTGGACACTCCGTAGAAGTGGACGAAGGCCGCGGCCACCACCAGCACGTGGAAGATCTGATGGGACTGGAACTGAAGGGAGAAAGTCCTTCAGACCACAGCAAACGGAACAAAGCAACACCAGGAAGACCTTCTCTTCCAGGAATGTCCTCCCCACCTTATCTCTTCCAGGAGTGATTTCCACCCTGGATTCACATCAGGTTGGAAAAGACCTCTAAGAATGTCAAGTCCAACCTGTGACCTAACTCTCCTGCTGCCAGCAGTGCCTTCCACCCTGTGCTTCACAGAGTCATTGGGGTTGGAAGACACATCCAAGAAGATCAAGTCCAACCTGTGACCTAACCTTGTTGCTCTCAGGGATTTCCACCCTGGACTTCAATCAGGTTGGAAAAGACCTCTGAGATAGAGTCCAACCTGTGACCCATCCCCACCTTATCAACTAGAGCAGAGCACCAAATGCCACCTCCAGTTATTCCTTAAAGATCTCAGAGGTCTTTTCCAACCTAGCTGACTCTCTGATTCTGCAGAGGGTGGAAATGCAAGATCTCACCTAACAAACCAGAGCACTGAGTGCCATGTCCAGTCATTCCCTGAACACCTCCAGGGATGGAATTTAGACTGGAAAAGACCTCTACGACCACTGAGTCCAAGCTATGGACCCATCACCAACTTCTCAACTAGACCAGAGCACTGAGTGCCACATCCAGTCCTTCCCTGGACACCTCCAGGGATGGTGACTCCACCCCCTCCCTGTTCAGCCCCTTCCAATGCCTGACAACCCTTTCCATGGAGAAATTCCTCCTGATGTCCAACCTGTCCCTTCCCTGGCACAGCTTGAGGTGTTCCCTCTTGTCCTGTTGTTCCCTGGGAGCTGAGCCTGACTCCACCTGGCTGCACTTCCTGTCAGAGTAGAGAGTGAGAAGGTCCCTCTGAGCTTCCTTTTCTCCAGGCTGAGCCCTGCCAGTTCTCCAGACCTTTCTCCTAGTGCTCCAGCCCTCCACACCCATCCCTGGACACTCCTCAGCCTAGAGCAATTCCTTCGCCCACACACAGCACCCACTCAAGGTCTATCTCAGAGTGTTCTGGGCCACCCCAGGTCCCCCCCAGCCACCTCAGAGCTCCCACCCTCACTCCCCAACCCTGTGAGGGCCCAGGACTCACCCAGATGTCGAACTTGCCCGGGAAGAAGCGCTCGGGGATGCGCGCGGCGTACAGCCCCGCGCCGGTGATGTACATCACGGCCATCAGGAAGAACCAGCCCATCTGCCCCACCGTCGTGGCCTTCACGAAGCCCTCAGCGATGGTGAAGTGCATGGTGGGCACCACACCACTCAGCCCCAGCCCCAGGAACACTCCTGCAAGCCCAGAGGGGAGGTCAGCAAAGGGCACCACCACCAGCTCCCCCTCAGCCTGCACTAGGGAAGCTCCTGGAGGCACCAGCAGCTTCTCCTCACTGGAGTCACGGAATAGCCCAAGCTGGAAGAGACCCACGAGAATCACAGGTTGGAAAAAGACCACCAGCTGGAAAAGACCTCTGAGATAAGCTCCTGGAGGCACCAGCAGCTTCTCCTCACTGGAGTCATAGAATAGCCCAAGTTGGAAGGGACCCACAAGGATCAGAGTCAATCAGATTGGAAAAGACCTCTGAGATCATCAAGCTCCCACAGAGAGCTGGAGAGGGACTTTGGACAAGGACATGGAGTGAGAGGACACAGGGAATGGCTTCCCACTCTCAGAGCACAGGGCTAGATGGGACATTGGGAAGGAATTTTTCCCTGTAAGGGTGATGAGACACTGGCACAGTTGCCCAGGGAGGCTGTGGCTGGTCCATCCCTGGCAGTGCTCGCAGGCAGGGTGGGTAAAGCCTTGAGCAACCTGCTCTGGTGGGAGGTGTCCCTGCCCAGGGCAGGGGTTGGCACTGGATGATCTCTAAGCTCCCTCCCAACCCCTGAACACTCTGTGACACTGTGAATCCCGGCAGGGTGTGAGCAGGAAGGAGACTCCTCCCTGCAGTGCTGTGCTGCTCAGGGGGAATGAGTTCTCTTCCCAAATAGGATCTTCCAGGACTTGGATGAGGAGGGAGAGCTCCTACCTGCCCTGGTCTGCCTGTGCTTAGGGGTGGCAAATCGGTCCCACTGCGCCACGATGATGGCAGAGATGCCCAAGACACAGACGATGGAGAGGTAGATGAGTCTTGGCTGTGGGGAGCAGTAGAAGGAGTAGTAGAGCCAAGGGACAAAGCTCCCCATGATCAGCAGTGCAATTCCTGAATAATCCAACCTGCAGGCAGGGAACAGGGACAGAGAGAGATGGATGAGCCCCAAAATCCATCCCCTCCTTGTGTGGGATCCCTCCAGCCTGTGCCTGGGTCAGTCACCAGGGCTGGGCAGAAGGGGAGTGCTGGGGGGGCCCATCAGGATCCTGAGGGACAGGGAAGGGCCTGGGAACCTTGGGAATTCCCGGGAGGAACAGCAGAGGCTGGAGACTCAACCCACCCTGTGCACATGGATCTCACTCAGAGCACTTTAGACCTATGGATCCAGGAACCATCTCACCACCAAAACCCTGGTGACTTTTTTGCTGAGTTTGCCCTGGAGACAGGATCCTGTGGGATCTCTGGGCTTTGTCCAAGGGGACGGGCAGGATTCCCAGGAAGCAGCACCCAGATAAATGCCTTTAGCAGCCTGGAATGAGCAGGAGCTCCCTTGGGAGCCTCACTGATGGGAGCCTGGCTGGTGAGAGCAGCCTGGGAAGAGGCACTGGCCACTGACCAGCATTCCCACTCTGCTGGGAATGCTGGTGGTGTTCCTTCTTTCCAGTTTCAGTCCAAACTGGATCCAAACCAGAGGTTTTGAAAAACATTCAGTGAACTGGGGCCTGCCAAACCAGCCAGGGGAGAGGGAGAACCCTCAGCTCACTGCTTCGAGGGGCACAGAGCCTGTTCCCTTTGGGATGCTGTTCCCTTGGGATCTGTGGGGTGCCAGTGTCTTTCTCATCCCCCTAAGGCATCGGAGGTGGCAGATGGAAGGTGCTCAGGCACAGGGCAGAGCCCCTCAAGACTCAGCTGTGGTTCCCCCTCAGCTCCATGCTGGACTGGGTGAGCACTCCCTTTCCCCAAGGATCAAACGTTTGGGAATGCAGTGCTTTCCCAAGGGGAGAGCTAGAAGAACCCCAAACCCCTCTGAGGCCACATCACCCCCTTGTACTGACTCACTTGGAAAACGTCCTCGAGACCTTCTCCGAGTGACAGTAGACAGTGTGGAAAAGCCAAGAGAAGCTGAGGCACAGCACTGCTCCCAGGAAGAACATCCCAAACACCACCTTCTCCTGGAGAGGAGCCATGAAGTACATGTTGGGGCGCAGCATGGTCAGGATCCCCAGGCAGAGGAACAGGACAAAACCTGTGGGGACGAAGTCAAAATGGAAAGAGATGAGTTCAGCCAAGGGGTTGGAGAACAGACCTGGATGTGTCCTGGGGGTGCTCAGTCACCCCTGGGCCATCTTGGCAGTGGGTTATTAGCTGAGGGAGTCATTAGCACAAATGAGCAGAGCTGTGGGGAAGAGCAGTCAAGGCAAAGAGCCACTGACCATCCCTGGGTTTCACAGGATCATGAAATCACACACTGGTTTGGGTGGAAGGACCTTAGAGCTCATCCCATCCCACCCCTGTCATGGGCAGGGACATCTTCCACCAGCCCAGGTTGCTCCAAGCCCTATCCAATCTGAGCACTCCCAGGGATGGAGAAGCCGCAGCC